CCTATACACTTACGTTCGCTTGACTGCCGCCAGTGCTAACGCTTATTACCACTACTACCAACTTGACGATCCGTCACATTGTTACAGGCTGTTAAGCCAATGCAACGTAGAGTGCGCACGCACTCGTTCCAGCACGAACCGAACATTGCTGGATTATAAAACCATGTAGAATTTAAAGAATCAACCCCTATAGCTGACACGGAATGGGATGAATTTTTTTAAATCAGAAATCAAAATATATTTCTATTCTATCGTCAGCGTGACGATAACAATACACGTGACTACAGGACACTGTATAATTAATTAAAGAAGCATTTTGACAGACTGTAATGAAAATTGGAAAATTTAAATTAAAAATTTTTTTTTTTTTAATTTACGATGCAATTTTTTGTTTCGGGCACGTGCTAGCTTACGTAGTATCTTTTAATGCACACTGTTACGTTCTACGCGGCGATGTTTGTTATTTGTTCTAGGCAAATATGTTTTTACGTTTTTTCACGGATTATCCAAGTTATTTATTCCTCGGTGACCATAGCACGCCATTACTCGAATTCTATTACTTATTTCCATCGCGAGTGGCTTTCTTTATTATGGGTACACTTGCTGCAAGATAAACACTCTTAATATTTCAAGATATGTTCCACATTCGTGTAACGCTACTAGGGTCTCCAAAATAGAATGATTGGAAGTGAGAAAAAATATTTGGTAAATGAAAAAGTTTGTTGTCCAAAAATCAATATTTCCCTAGACGTTAATTGACAGTAGTATATTATTTTTTTTTTCTCTATAAATAACCTCGATGCGGAGATTCTCAACAGCAGGATGTAACACCTATCTCTGTTCAGTCTTAAAATGATTTTATAATTCAATTTGCGCCTGTCATAGGTACCAACGTATGTGTCCGAGTTATGCATCCTACATGGTCCAAGCATCTGACACGACTCTACAAGCCCGAGCTCCACGCCACCCCTATGTTTTAATTGCGATTTATGATCAGACGTAGGGGACCCATAGACCCACACAAAGGTAAAAAGGTCATGCACGGCATCACATGCATGGTATAACATATATCAGCACGAAGTAACATTACACGCGTAATATATGAAATTACTTGCATAGCGAGTAATATAATTTTTTTGAAAAAAAAATCACAATTATGAAATATCCCGTAATTTGCTTCGATGTACAAAGCCAATAACAAGCCATTGGGACGCAATAAAGAGTCGTGCGAAATGTCAAAGTTCATGTATAAAAAAATCGTTCGTATACAAGCATACAGAAAAACGCCAATAAATGCTATACGTGATATAGAATATTTTTGGTAACACAAATACTTCGTCATTCCGTGGGTCCTAAAGCAAAAATACATTCCACATGTGCTACATCACACATTCGCAAAATAATTATTCATGACGGCACGTGTTATCGAGATACGTTTTTTATTTCGCTGACGACAAAGTAAAGTGGGAGAAAATAAAAAATTTGGACGTAAATAACGATAAGAACGCCTGGCGTCTATGTAAGGTATACATGTGACAATAATTCAAAGATGGCGCCACATGTACCACATATATCTTTACACTTGAAGTGACTACCAACATGCTCAGTATCAAGATATTTAATACGAGTAGAATAATCTAAGGTTTCAAGAATAATGGACCGTTTGTTAAAATGTAGCTTTTATCCAGAGAAAAGTTAACATAAATCCTCCTAGTCGCCTTAAAATTTAAAATGCGTCGTAAATCTTCAAGAATTATCAGTACCCAGTGTCAGATATTTCTACTTCTAAATATAATGGTTATGCAGTCGTGCATTAGATACCCATAATGCATTTGAGGTTTTAGCCCGATACGTGTAGACGTTACAGGCTGCACTCCTAAAAGGTTGCGCCTGCGCATAAGCAACCCGACATACAGTGGTGCATGCCGGGTTGTCATAGCCACAGGCGACAAGGGCGCCTCTACGAAAACTATAATTTAGCCATGCATCTGCCATGATCTTGATTACGGATGACTAAGATCATTACCGAGCACTGACAATGCTTCATCACTTCCTGTCGCAAATTACAGAGACTTTGAAACAATTTACATCTGTCCCTTTCGTACCCTCAGTACGTGTTACACAACACTTTTTCATACGGAATTCATTATTGACACACGGGCGCGATAAATTTAAAAATAAATAAGAGCCACCGATAAGACCTGTATATAGAAGAACTTCTGAGTTTTTAGTTAAGTAATTTGATTTTATGTAGTTATGTCAATTTTTTATATTGACTGTCAACAGAATTATTGAATTCAATATAAATTGCATGAGCAGAAAATTAGAAGTCGCGTATGACTATTGGGCATTCTATTGCTTGGAATTTGCTATGGTTTTTTTTATAAGGCAACACAGTGCGCTTTATTAGGTCATTATACTTTCCAGAAATGGCGATTTCAAAAGTATTCACGAGCAGATTCATTTGCCTTTATATATCCACGGTTGTAGTATAGTGAATAAAATAGGCGCCAAGGGAACACTGCTTGCACGCAAAGCGACGAAATCAAGTCTCATGCGTGAGTAGAATGCAAGGAATCCCAGGTGAGTAACTTGTGAATCATCACCCATAACCAGTCCAAAGCCAACTACGTATACTCACAGTATCTGTCGTTACTCCAAACTCGTAAATGCTTGATAGTGGCGAAGTAACACGAATTAAATTTTCAAATCACACATAATCAAAAAAATTGTTTAAATACAAAAAAATCAGAGCATTCCACAAACAATTATCAACGTCTGAGAAGCAAGTATATCGATTGATTAAATGAAAGCGTGTTATAACTATATCTTACCCCCTTTTTTTTTTGTCAATACTGATAAGTTATCAGTCGAATCTATCGATAACGATGAACAAAAATTGCGAATAAATAATTATTTAATCAATTCCAATCTAGATTTTCACATTGAAATTTTTATATTCGCGTAGGAATGCGCTGCTAATGTTTTTTGCGGATGCATTATTATTATTTGTTAAGAGGAAATAAAGCTAAGATTACACTGCCTCTTCCAGGACGTAGCGCTCGAGCAATCTTTTGATAACTAGAAACTATAAATGCTGCTATTTTTTATGACTAAACTCTTTTAAAAGGAGTACTAATTGTTTAGCAGTATTTTTCGTTTAGAAAAAATTTGTGATAAACAATAATTCAATTCTAATGGGGGTTACGATAATAAATTATACCGATTGTAAGGCCACTTTTTAGTATGGAGTTCGAAAATCACTCGTAAGAGCGATTCGTGGATAACGTAACGACAGATCTAGAGGAAGTTTGGATCGTATCGATACTTTACGAGCGAAAGATCTTTCCTGTGAGATTTCTACTGGAGCGTCTATTAGAAGGTAACGTTTACGACTTTCTGATGCTACCTGGAGACCTTCCCAGAATCTTCCCAGGTTAGACCTTGACATTTTATAACCCAGCATTCCTTCAAGGCGAGTTTAAAATTCGTATAAAAAATTGTCTACGCGAAGAATCTCATTCTCGTACAAAATTTATCAATGATTGAAAAGGATGATAAATAACAAGAAAATAGAAAAAATTATTTTTGTACAGTAACTGTACTTACATACATCCCGAAGCGACCTTTTCTGTATCACACTAAACCAAATACTGACACACTACTTCTGATTGTGCTACGTCCTTACGATAAATAACATAAATCCGCGTCCGTTACCACATAGTTTGATAACGTCATTGATATACATGTGCATCCCCTTTTTCCCCCCAGAAATTACACACGCCGTATTATGATACGCTGCAAAGCAAATGACACACAAATCACAGAATCGAATTTCCAAAGTGTATCCCTAAAATGTCAATGTAGAATTCGAAATTTATATAACCTGCAAATTCTTATTCCAACTAAAATTAATGTGGGAATTTACGGCGTTCGGACTATATTCTTCTATTCTTTTTGGCACTTTGCATACAATACCACTGATACTATCTATAGTATGGACTTTACCATCCTGTACTTTCTACTAGTACTACATTGACGACTACCTACTCTTTCGTTTCCCACTTATTAGGACAGAGTCAGGCGTGCAGCTGCTGCCAGTGGAAGTCGCACCTGCAAAAACTCCAGCAATAAGGCATACCTGAGCCCCTGTAATGTGAAATGACGAAGCTGAACCAGTCATCAAATAGAGTTAACGCTCTGGGTAATCTTTTCACTGGGAAAAAATAATAGAAAAAATAATAGAAAAAATTATTTTTTTACAGTAACTGTACTTACATACATCCCGAAGCGACCTTTTCTGTATCACACTAAACCAAATACTGACACACTACTTCTGATTGTGCTACGTCCTGGGAAAAAGGTTGTGCAAAACTAGGTGTGTGTCGAATTGTTTGTTTTTCTGTCAGATTGAAACACTTTCAATATTAGTCTACAAAAGGTTAAGTCGAATTTGAATGCTTGATACTACAGGATGAATCATCGTTGATAAATCTTCATTTGAACATTGTATACAATCGCCTAACCTACAATTATTTATCACCTTAGGCAACAATGATGAGTCATTTAATAGAATGGGAAAAGACGTTTACTAATAATTTTTTTTTTCCTACCAGGACGTACGTTTACGTCAATAATCTCGAGGAAGTATACGCGGAAGCGATTCCGGCCCAACGATGGGAATACTAACCGAAGGCTTCTGTCAGTCATTCTCTAAACCGGATTCGTCGCACTACCCAGCAGCTACTACTATTCCTACTGTACATGCCCATAGAGTCATTACAGTACGTGACGACGGCATTCCGAATGATTATATCAGGAGTAACGTTTCTATGAAAAATATTTAAAAAATTTCGATGATACATAATTTTGTCTAAATATAATCTTGCTATCTGGTAAATTCGCAGTATAGATATGTACATAATCAATTAAGACCGTGGTTCTATTGAAGACTCATAAATTAATTACTTGGAAATATAAAAAATGATAACTTTACTTACGTTACTAGGTACAGCCAATGATTCGCAATCATCGGTACGTCTGTAGCGACCTTCGTCGACAACATCTTGACAAACAGGATTCTCTATTCCACCGCCAACTTCGATGGTGATACCGACGTTCGCTGATAACGTTTGCTAAAAAAAAATATAAGTTATATTTATCTATTATATATATATCCATTTTTACAAAAAAAATAATTGCATCAGTGGAATCTTCAACGTAAATAATATTATGAGTACAGTAAGTTCATTAGGAGTTTACTGTTATGTATGACATGTTAATGAAAATGATCTTTGGACATATTAAGAATCAGATGTATGTATTGAGTTAGTATCTATTATTATTACCTGACGATTTCTAATTTCGATAAAATATATTGACTATGTCATGGTATCCATTGGTACGCTATGTACTTAGCAATAAATGTACACATTTAATAGAAAGATTATGTACATAGATTTTGATTTGATAATCAAATGAGTTTGTGGAATTCATTATACATACGGATGCACGAATAATTTTCTGATTCATCATTGAATTTGAGCGTGACTTTCAAATTAGGTTAGAGATGCTATCGTGTTGGTAATCCTTAATCAAATTTGATAGGAGCACAAGGGCCTTTATTAAGTAATAACGTATGCATGTCAACATGAATATCTACAACGTCCACGTCTAACGTAAGTACAGTGCGGAAATGCATTGCACGTATATGAATAATTTTTTATAAATTTTACTTATTTTCACTTAACGTAAATATGAACAAGTTGCAATGTTCTCAGTAGATAAGTGAGTGCGTTATACAAGTGCATTCACGTATGCATTTTCTCAGAGAAATACTTTGGCGTACATCCCGTGTTGCTATCCATACAGAATATTTAATCGAACGGCAAGATTACACATGCGAAATCGAGGATACATTAGTTGCAGAATACCTCATCACGAGATAATACAGAAAATACTTTTCTGTGAATAGTTCCTTTAGAAATGTACTAAACTGAGGAATTAGTTACTATTAGTACAATAAGTAAGTACGCAATGAAATTTTTAATCAATAGTAATTATGTGAATGTTTAAATTTTATTTGAATTTTGTAAGTGGTATATTGTTTAAAAGTTTTGTTCAGTAGCAGGATGCTATTTCCGAGCTACTATGGTATTGTCATTGTCAGCAGCCTGAAATTTGAATGTCTGTAACGTAACTGCAAATTAGCATTTTCTGTTTCTACAGAAACTTCACTCGTATCCGCATATCAGCATTCAGATAACAGCACACGTGTATTAAATACGAAAAACGAGGCATAAAATTATATGGATACTTTCAAAAATAATAAAATTCAATTGACGCACTTTTTTCTCCTAATTCCTCAAAGACAAGTACAAACCGTCCTATAAGATTTTAAAAATAATGTCTTGGAAAATTCAAGACATTTATAAAAACATCAACCCTATATGTCCAATGATAAACCAGTATGCAAAAAGGTCATTAAAAAAAATGCTTAAACCTGATTATTCGGAGCCCTAAAATATGTGGTTCTATTAAACCACATTTTTCCACGCACCGACTAACCACAATAGCTATACTCAAACAGTAACCTAACTTAATATACTTTACAGTAACCTAACTTTCTAACAAAACATACCAAGCCAGATGATATAAATAACTCTATTACACTTCGAAATTGCATACGTAAAAATAAACAATGTAATTCGTACCATTTGCACCATACTTCCTCAACAGAAAGTAGCCGCACGCCACACACTAAAATATTCTCTCAATTAAGCCAGTTGAATCCTAGGGTGTCCACACGCGTCACGGACACATGGACTAACTGACGTATTCACGTTACGCGTAGGGCAGTACAATGTTTCGTGCTTCAAAGTGACGCATAGTATGCCAGCTAGGACCGTCTTGTTCAGAGACTTGACTCCCGCGCCAGTTACTGCCTGACTACTCTCTGTAGCTGTTATAAAGTCAGTGAGAGAGTTAGTGACTGAGTGAGAAAGAAAGTGAGTGAGTGAGTTAGTTGATGGGTGGGTGGGTGTCAACCGAACAGGTTGTTCCGCGTAGTAGGTACACAACAGCGACAACAATTCTTGATGAAGACTAAAGAAACGTCGCCATTGGTTGTAAATTCAATAATTCTTATGAAACTTTATTTTCATTGGTAAACGAACAACACATGCCTGATATCACACTGCCTCGTTCTCTAATTACTCGTACCTTTGGAGTTTGATGATAAGTATATCAGCCGTAGAACAAGTTTATTATGACATGCATGCACATTCGGTTTTTTGTGAAATCATCGTGTTTGAAGACTACTGAAATTACAAATTTTTAATTAGATTTGTCATATGTATGCTGACTTGCGTTATTTTCTATGTTTGTATCAACATGATTTATAATGATTGTACTCATTCTTGGGCGAAACGGAAGGTGCGAATAGAAAATTATTCTATTAAATGCAAATGTAACTGCGCTCTGTTACATTGACGTTATGTATATGAGTGCGAAATTAAAACTGACATACATGTTACATGTATCCTCATCTGTGAGGAATTTTACGTCTGTTTGTTTTAGTCATATCAAAATAAAAGATTGATTTGAATTTTATAACCAAACATTCAAATTGATTGATGGAATTTAACGATTTTCAGATCTGTAATGTCAAAGATTGCAACAATCGTTTCTCACTGTTGTATCGTGTGTGTTTAGTATTGAGCTTAAAAGTAATTCTAAGATTTATATAATTAATTTAAAGTACTAATTAAGTAAAGTACATTTTCTTTAATCGATACATTTAAAGATATACAATATGTAGTCACGTAATGTTACAGGTTAGGAATAATTTGTCTTTTACGCACTACTACAGCGTTCGACAAGATTAACACAATATACGTATAAAAGTGTAAAAGATTAGTATCGTTCAATACAAACCAACAGTGCTTTCACCGCTCACTCGAATCTCTCCAGTATGAAACGTCACCGGCCAGCTTCTCGATATCTATAATTCGTAAAATAAGTGTATCAAATAAATCCTACCAGAAAGTAACTAACAGTTATTTATTATATAAAATAAGTATTATCAATAACTTATGATATACATAATAGATTATTAGTCTCTCGTATTGATTTATACTTCTGTCGAGAGGCAGCGAAAATACGAAGGGTTGTATGATTATGAAGATGCAGCTGTTTTTTAAGATCGCCATGGACCTCCCTGGAGTATATAGTTCACAGAATCTATGTGTAGCAGAGACATATGTAGCACGAGTAAAAAAAAGTAGATGCCAGTAAAATGCGTCGGCGCACTTAGGTGCCTACGAGCTATGGAAGAAATATATCAGGAGCTAGAGAGCTATTCTGTTATTTGAGAAGAGATATACGTTCTTGAGTGTCATGTGGAGACATGTGTGTGAAATTAGTGGATCCAGAGTATCGAGAAAAATTATCGAATTCTGCATAAGTTCGGAATATGCAATATTAATCTCGTTACGACGGATATCACGTAGAACATAATCTATACCGGGGATTCGGCGAGACATAACCTTTGACGAGCACATTGCGAAGCCATTAATGTATAACAAGGAAATTACGACCACGGTAAGTAACAATATTATTTAATTACTTTAATTAGAACACTTGCCGTTCAATACTCTGTTTGCAATTCTTTATGCATGGTGATGTTTATCGAATGGTTTCCATATGGAAAGGTTATACGGCCATGCTAAAGATGATTTTTAGTTTGAACTTGTTAGATATTAAAACATGATTCTTTATAGTGTAATTTATTATTCTGTTAGGTTTTTAATTAACATGTTATATGTTAGTGTTAAATGGACATGACACTGTCGAACCGCTGTCCAGGGGGGCTTTAAGTGGGGTTTATATTATTTGTGATAAACGTATAAACAAATAAACACATGTTTGCTTGGAGTAGTTTAATATATTTTTGTAATTTTCTAAATTTGCTTACTGGTTCTGTTAATATATGCTTGGCTTTAATTTATATACAATACATTTTTGGGCCGTCGAATTTATCTGATTACATTAACATTATTAATTAGTAGATTTTCATTTCGTTTTATTGTGAGTGTAATTGAAGTGAAATTTAGTTGTAATGAACGAAAAAATATGAAGGGTTTTGAAATTTGTATACAAATTGTGTAATATATACATATATTTCAGTGACAGTGAGCGTGTGCATAATTTTCATATATACTTGAATTATCAACCAACCACATAAATAAAATGCGACGGGCCAGGATTAAGGCAGTTGCAACTGTCCCAGTTAGGCGAAAGAATGTACAAGATGGAGCCAATGCAGATTCACCAAAAACTATCATTCCCAATGAAATGAACAATGAGGATGGCCAAAAAGTTAAACATTTAAATGTTTCGGAAGACCCAATTCCTGAAAAACATATTGAAAAAGCTCCTCGAATATCAACTCCGCCACCAGTGCAACCACTAGTACAACCAGAGGATCCAATAATTAGAAATGCTGATGCAGCTTTGCTAAAAGTGAAGAAGGAAGAATCAACGATTATTCCACCAGCAAACATTAAACCAGAATTAAACAACAAGACAAAAAGCACAGAGCAAGCAATAGAAAAACCATCTAATGAACGTTTTGAGATTGTACCATCTAAAGTAAAACAACTACCGATAATTACGGAAACCACAATTCCACCGGAACCTAGTAATGCCCAATGCTTCTTTTATCTTAAATTACGATAATGGATAAATATAACCTATTAACTGTACTGTTTATAATGTTCCAGTGTCACCTACAAAAATCTTGCAAAATAGATCCTGCTTCATGAGACCAATCCCAAGATTAGATGGAGGTGGTCGAATTCGGAGAAATAGTATTCAAGGAAGTGGAGCTAGTGCAAGCGAATCAGAAGATGATAGTAAAAGGTCAACCTCTGTTGTACCAAATCGTGTTCGAAATGATTCAGTTTGTTCTGTTCAAAGCAATAAAGAGGTTCCTAGTAATGCTATGACCAACAGTGGTAATTTAGCAACAAAACCAGGACAGAAAAGACGAATAATGGTATCGGAATCAGCAAGAAAATTAGCTGAAGCTAGAAGAGAATTTTTACTGAAGCACGAAAATAAAGCACCTGATAGGAACAAGTTGACTATGTACGATTTAATTTATTATAATCCAGTAGCAAATCCAATGAAGAAGCAAAATGAGAATGCACCAACTTCAAGAAGAGCTTCAATTTGCTCGTAAGTACAATTTATTCTATATATACTTGAGAAGATACCTTATCTAATTAGATATTTTTTGATAATTTAACGTGCATCTATCATGTTCAGCTCTGTTGAAGTTCAGGAAGAAGAAAATGTGGATGAACCAACAGCAATGCCAGTTCCTCAAGTCAAAGTTGGACCAGATGGCCAATTAATAGTTGATGAACAAAGTCTCATAATAGAGCATACAAATGCTAAAAAGAATCGAGATGCTCTTGCTAATTCGGAGGCTGTGATAGACGATGGTGGTAACAGTAATGGTTTCTATAAGAGAAAGCAAAAAAGTAAGGAATGGCCAAAATGGGAGACATTAAAATTCTACCGTGCCTTGAATACAGTTGGCACGGATTTCTTGCTCATGCAAAGTTTATTTCCCAAGAGGACTCGTCAAGAAATAAAAGCCAAATTTAAAAAAGAAGAAAGAACAAACAGAAGACTAGTTGAAAAGGCACTCATGTTTCACCAAGAATTCGATACCGAAACTTTGGAAAAAGAACTAGGTAAGTAAATTTACAATACATTACTCCTTAATACAATAAAAAGAAAAATATTTCGACACCTGCATACCTCTTTAAATACAGCCGCTTTTGAGGAATCCGAAAAGTCTTTATGGGAGACGAAAGAAAAAGAGAAAGGTACTAAGAACGACAAAGAGAGACCAAAGATTGGACGAAAGAGGTCTTCTCGTAAGTTTTGTTGTTTTAAATACGTTTTTCGTAATTCCACTGCCAACCTCATACCGTATACCAAATCATCTACGTATCTCTTTAGGATTAGTGGCATCAAGCATAGCTGAATCGGAAGACACGGATGAGGCTGAAGTGAATGAACCTGCACTATCGGCCGACGTAGAAAATATAAGCCTAGACGAATTACTACGTTCTGAAGCATTCAAAAGCTTTTGTAATCAGAAGAGAAAGAAACGCGTACGAAGTAAACGTACTCGTTCGATAGAAAGTACCCTAGACAATCTAACAAATGAGACAAACAGCATCCAGGACACAGACAGTGACAACGAGGTTTACCAAATAAGACCAACACGTTCTGGCCGATTACCTAAGGTGAGGAAACTGCAGGCACCCGACGTAAATACTCTGGACACAACAATTTTATCCGACAATATTGAAGAGGTTAATACAATTGATATTGAGCCTTCCAAGGAGCAAGCAATTCTGGAAAATTCGGATGCAACAGAGAAGCTGGTGCAAGAACCAACAAATGATCATCCGGTATCACCAGTGCAACCGCCGGAAGTAATCAAGAATTCGTTACCAGATATGAGTCAGGTAGAACCTGGTTCACTTGTTATATTTGCTCAGGAATCTATGGAGGAACCAGAGAACACTATAGTTCAAGTTTATATGGTTAATCCACACGTCGATCCTAATGATCCCAATGCTAAACAAAACATGACGCCTGTAGATCTTACTCCGGAATTACTAGCGACTGTTACTTCTGGAATAGCGAAAGTGGAACCAATTTCTGTGAAAACGGAATAAAAAATGATGAAAAACGCAATGAACAATTATTGAATACTACAAAATCGATTGATTTGATTGAGTAATGTCACTTTTAATAAGAAGTCAATTAATTTTATACATTGTGGTCCCCTGTCGGTCTTCTCTCTAAAAATCAATTCATTCACTTATTAAAATGATAGAGACTTCAAGGATACGTGAATTTAAGGATATCAACTGTTCAAAATTGTAAAAAAAGAAATAATGCAATGCTATTTCAATTAGCGTACGTAGAAAACAAAAGTAAAAACAAGTATCCTAGCTGCCTTTCTAGAAATATCTCTGGATTACTACATAAAGCATGGCCTTCCTATTGTATACATACAATCATGTTGGCACATTATCCGCCATTATAATTAGGTTGATACATTATTACTTTGTACATACATATTCAGGCTGATTATATTATTGAGTTAATTAATTTAAATTAAGGATCATGTACGACGTATTTATAGAAAAATTGAAACCAGTTTGAAGAAATGCATTTACATATATGGCTATTACCTAGATTTCATTAAAGATCATTATAGTAAATGCAATACTGGAAAGCTTTTTTTTTTTGAAAACGTAATTAAATGCAAGAATTCAAATGCCTCGATGAACGATACGTAATGATTTTTTAAATCATAGTTAAGTAAGCAATGTTTTAATTACAATTAAAAACTCGAAAACATTTTTGTTGAATACCTGCATTTATGTTTGTAAATATATATTGAGTTAATTGATAAAAATGAATATGCGTTATTGCATTTTATACGTACGTAGAAAAATTAGAAAGCAATTATTTTATGAACCATTTGTACAATTTTACTAATACTGGTTTATCATCACCTGCATTTTGGTTTTACGTTTATCTATTTTACTCGTTAATATATTGTACAGCCAAATTTTCGATTGTTGGTGGAATATGTAATAGGCTATAAAATATAGTGTACAATTAATTGAATAAAAATTTGTCACGGAATTGCATATGAATTTATTTCAATAATTATTCTATCATGTGAAATTTTCTCTCAGTCACAACTTGTTATCAGTAAATTGACATACAGCACCTCATACATAAATAAGAAGTATCATATCAAAGGTATTTCTTGCTTGATTAACCTATGGAACTGTTGAACATCTTATATACAGCTTAATTTTTATTATAAAAAAAACTTGACTGTGTTTATTAATAACACAATTCAAGTGTATCACATGGAATCCATTTTGAACTCTCTAATGCATCCCACATATTGTAATCCTGTTCAATTATATCCCTGTTCATTTTGTCAACATCTACTGGAACAGAATGTTCTGAAACATTATGAATAAATTATTTCGCACAATTACCATTATCTATGTAAGGATGTAAATACACACCAACTAGTTCCAGCTCGTCTTCTTCAGGTTTCTGATCTGAAACATAGTTTGTGTATGCATCTGATGTAGGTTCACTCTCATAATATCCCTGCTGCCAAGCACTATAGCTATTCCAATAAGAAGATGTGTCATAATAGTTATATGATTCTGAATTCATATTCGATGAAGAGTAGTCCGATGATGATTGAGGTGGTGTAGATCTGAAAAAATTAGAGGATTAATATAAGATCATTCAGACTATAAAGATCACTCTATACATCGTGTCAACAAACCCAGCTATTTTGTTCCACGGTCTTGGCACAGCATTACAGATTTTCAAAGACTTGGTACCAAGGCCCCTGTATCCGTTCATGGTAACCAGGCTGTTCTTCTGCTCTTCCTCATTGGCAAATCTGACAAAACCGTAACCCTTGCTAAAGCCAGAACTATCTAATATTACTTTGGCTGTTCTGATCGAATTGTACTTTGCAGCGAACGCCCTGTACAACGAATAATCATCAACGTCAGTAGACAAATCACCAACCCAAATACTGAACTCCCTGTCTGCAGCTGGCTTGCCCGTTGTGCTGGCGTGATTCAAACGGAACCTAACAGTCTGAAAAGAAAAAGTAGTATCGTCTGCTTAGGATAGTCATACACATGGTGTTACGTGGGTACGAAGAAAAATTCATCGATTTACGGGATTCGATCCTGGTATGGCCTTGCCGTTGAGTTTGTGCATGGCGTCAAGTGCCATTTCGTCAGTCGGAAAATGGACGAAGCAATAACCGGCCGGTTCACCCGTGTATCGATTTCGCATCACCTTCACGGTTTGGGGTTGCTCTCCCATTTTGTGAAAAGCATTCATTATGAAGCTCTCTGTCATATACGGCTCTAGCTGAATGAAATCGATACGTTATATTTCGATCGAAGAACGGTGGTTGTTACGTTCAATAATTCTGTCTTTTTTTCAAAGGCAATTCGAATTCTACTGAACGGAATACCGCTGACGTAAATATAATGCTGTTCGAGCATCACGAATCAATTGTCTACGCGTTAATGTAACGCAATTAATAATTATAAACTTTTCGTCTACATTTAATCATAACCTTTCGTCCCGCGGGGTCTTCTCAAAGGAATATGTCAAATAAAGTACATTCTTTTTTGTTCTCCCAATTAATATGCGTACTTACACCTCCCATCCATAATTGACACAACACCATAGGTCCCGACATTTTTATCGATATACTCAATAAAATATTCGACACGAAGATTAACTACAATATAAAATACTATGTTAAATAAAATTATTCCGAATTTTGAACACCCTAAACGTACTCACTGAAATTACATGCGTTCATGAATCAATGCGTAGCTAGAGAGAAAACTTGATTCTGAAGTTTCTATCGGATGGTTTACTAGATGGCGCTTTCTACAATAGCGTTTTACGTCATCGTTGAGTATTATAACGATTCGTAATAGCATAACACATATTTTCCTTAGGAATGCAAGAAAGTAAATGAAACAAATAAGATTCCGTGGAACCTTTATTTATTATCTGCAAAAAATTAAAATTAGAAAAATGTACTGACAAAACCACAACTATTGCTGTACGCTGTAAGACGGCAGATCGTGGTACAGTACACTCCCGTTAAGTGAATGCTTCATAAGTGAACGCTTCCTCTTTTGACAGGTGGCGTCTCTCTTGTATCATGGGATATGTATTGGAATAATCCTCACTACCAGCTACCGTGGGTATTGTTGTAAAAGCGCGAAAGAATTGTATGTTGGGAAACAATTAAGGACAATGAATTCTGATAAAAACTGTTGAAGAGGAGATGCTCTCGTTTACCGATTGTTTTTGTTGTGATAGACTTTCCCTACATCCCCAAAAACGTTCAGTTAACGAGAGTCTACTGCACTCTTTCCTTAAGTGCGGGAAAAATAAAAGCTTTGTAGAGCATTTATAAAACTGACAACACTTTTTTTTAATTTTTTAAAGTATGCTTTACATTGCATTGGACAACCTTTACCAAGTGTACGTGTATGTGTTTGTGTATTTATATACATTAACTTATAATATTATATAGTAACGGTAGCGATCGTGTAAAAAATAAATTCTTGATTTAAGTTCTAATTATCTTCGCATTAGAACGTACTCTGCCCTTCGTGTCGTAACATTTTGGAAGAATTCTCCTTCGCATCTTAGAAGACCGAGCTTGCAGATACGAGGAATGAAAAATCATACTTAACGAAATGCTCTCACGAAAATGACGCAATATGATAATAGAAGGACACATAATAAGGGGTCGAAAGAAATGTGTGAATTAGTAGTAGAACATTAAGAGTAATGTAAGACGATCGTACAGCGTATATTAACTTCTATGCACTGTAAAATGATATTGTCGATTATAAAGAGGAGTCCTAGAAAATTACAATTTTTACAATAACACAAAATGTTATGCTGCGAGAATTTTTGACAATTTTCAATAGTCATGAATGAAAACTGAAAATGAAAAAAATAATTTTCGCTTTGAATAAGCACCTAAGAAATGTCCTATACACGGTAAAATTTGGAATGTACGGAAAAGCGGGACAACATTTTTGTCATTTATGAAAATCTGCAATGATATAAAACATGAGGGAAACATTACGATAATTCGTGACAAAGTATGTGTAACGGATTTTAGATTCTAATACAATTTACAATAAAATGCATTCAATTTATCTCGCATACAAGAATATAAGAGATTTGTCTTTGTACGTAGTTTCCCAGTGATCCAATAATTTTAATCTTTTTTTTTTTACTTTTCTTTCTCCCTATCCTCCCCTCTCTCTCGTTTGTCTCCTTCGTTAAAAATATTTCGTCATTTATAGTTATGTTCTAATACAGCCATTTATACAGGATGTCTCAAATACGCCTCGCGAAACGAGTCACTTTCGTTGTTTAATCGACATCAAGTATGTTCCTTATACTATAATTGAATCAACAGTGAATTAATTATATAGACATATTTGGCTAAGTGCCTTTAAAGACAATAAAAATTACGATATAAGATACAGGAGATTTTGATACATTGGGTTTCTAATGTCTTTCCTATCTGCATATCATTCATCAGGAACTGACAATTAATCATGATAATTAATTATCACTATAATTGGTTTTACATTTAGAGAGCTTATATTAATGAAAGCACACTACTCTTTAATTCACTCCTGTATATAGAAAACATCTTCCATCTTCAAAATCTCCCGCAATTAATAGTTATATACAAAATTTCGTTTCCTCTGCGGAATACCATATTGACAGAATCATCAAGAGATACATTGGAAATCATCAATGGGCAAAAAATAAAGAAACTAACTGGGTATTAACTCGTAGAATCAATCATGTTTCTTTTTTATAACTCATTTACTAATTATGAACTTGTGTTTAACTTTGTATAGTAAATAAGTACCGCAACGATGGTTACACTAAGCTATTCAAAAGAATAATTTCTGTTTAAATGAAATGTTTAGCCCAGACAATTTTCAATGCGATGAATTATAATGAACTGATTTCGATTCTTAAAATATGAGCAGGACAAAGAATTGTGCTAGTGAAAGCAATATGGCTAATATCACTGTTTTCCGTGGTCCAATTGCATGTCAATTTTTGATCGAAAGAAGTTTAAGAATTTTGATGAGTTTGCAGAAGAACAAAATGTCTGGCCTTTTGGAAACCTTTCTATTATTATGGATTTAAAAATCATGATTCATGTAAGCAAATTTCTTGAATTGTCGAATTGAAGACTTTAAGCCACTGTGGAGATAGTACGACAATCGAGTATTTTCGTGCACACAGATTACGCATTTTACATATATTACAAGGCAATTTCAACAGTATTAAACAATATAAATTTTGCTAAAAATATTGGACCACAAAAGAATATGTACTTTCTCCTTTAAGAACCAGACGTTTAGATGTCAGCATTGCATATAGAAGAGTGAGAACGAATATTGTCTTAAATTAATTTCAAATTCGAATTCCATCTTTGATGTCGATAGTGTTACGTGAAACCTATTTATTTCGAGAAAAATAGACTTCTTCTTCTACTTGTTCCTTCTGGCTTTATGCCCTCATAGAGGGCCAAGTGACAGGAGAAAAATACAAAAATTTTCATAAGAGTGAAGAGTTCTAACAAAATGTTAAATCAGTTCAGTGATTTCTAACGCGAATCAAGAATAATGGATATAAAAGTTGGACACCCTCAGCACTTTTCCAAAATAAAGAACAAGTGAAAATTAATATTTTTCTAATGCGTTATAGTTGTTCTTCATGCTGTCATCTAACGTCATAGCCAAGAAAGTGCGTAGAAAAATGGCCTATTGGACATTATGCCATACAGCTGCGTCACTTGTTGGCTATAAAATATTTAAGTATATTGTTGGGTTTTGGTTTATTGGTCGCTGGCCACGAACGGCTAACTTCTCTCTGTAGATCAATGGGTAGCGATTTGAAAACGGCGGCGTCGGTTCCTGGAGGTGGAGACATGGGGGACATCGGAGACGAGGGTCCAAGACGTAAACCAGCCATTTCGTTGCTTGGAGATTCTCTGCGTCCACTTAGCCAGACTTCGAGTTTTGTTTTCTTCGGAGAAGGTTCCACTTCATTAGGTATGTCATCGTCATCGGTGAACTGGCTAGTCTTTGCAACGGAAGCCAAATTTGAGCTTGACAACGAAGTGTTGGCCGAATTCGCCGTGGATTGAGGATGCTCAACGGCGTCATTACTATCCTGATTTACACTCATTGGTGACCCCAAACTCACATCAGATATGCCTTCTTCTGAGCTGATGTCCAGAACAGACTGTACAGCTACTTGTTTCCTAAGGAAGGACGTGATGCTGCTCTTTCCAGAACTCCTTTCCTCAAACTTAGTAAAAGCGACGCCCAATAAAGATAAGTGAAATGGTTTTGACACATCAACTACTCGGTGAAACAATTTCATAGCTAGGGTTAACATCTTTGCATGGTCATAAGCACCTCCTTTTGTTGCTGGAAGTAGGGATTGTGGTAGAGCAGACTGCCTGGTCTCTCTTTTTCCACTATTCGCTTTATTAAAATCATGTTTGCGTACAGTCAGTTTCATAGCAACAGGAATCCTTCCATCTTCTGTAGCCAATTCTGTGAGTCTTCTTAAGAGTGCTCCAAGTCGTGACTCTACTTCCGCTACCAGAGATACAGACTTGAATCCATCTTCGAGACCAATGGATTGTGGCTTTCCAGATGGCTTAACTATAGTTTCATCAATACCTTCTGCATTGTCTTTTAATTTCCTTGCTAAATCAGTACCAATTTTCAATTCAAGGTTTTCCAATGGTATTCTTTGAAGATCATCAACAGTTGCAATGTTGTTGGACATTAACAACTCTGCTGTCTTCTGTCCAACACCTGGTATCTTTGATACTGAGCCGATTGAGGATAATAGTAAGGATGCTGCACAAGGGAAAACTACAGTTTGTTGGTTGGGCTTGTGCAAAGATCCGGAAAGTTTCGCCAGTAATTTATTGTGCGCTATTCCTGCGCTGCACGTCAATCGTAATTCCTTATATATTCGGTTTCTCATCTCAGCTGCAATTTTACTAGCGCTTGATAGTCGTTCATGACAGCCACATGGACATTCCTCTTCAGCAGGGCCAAAAATCTTTCCAATTGGGCTATTGGACTCACTGCTTAACGAATCATTCATCATACCGCAATCGGAGTCTCTTCTAGAGCTACTGGCGGACTTGTCAACTAAACATGATACATCAACAAAACTCTCATCCATTCCCAATCTCTCAACCAATGATGTAAACTGATGCAATATTTCAGAGATTTTGGTGGACACTCTACGGTACTCCGTTAAATCCTCGCCACGTACCAGGGCCAGCCCTGGACACAAGCGCAAAGCTTCTTGGACTGACATACATTTCTTGATTCCAAATTCTCTTGCAATGTAATTACTGGTCACCACTAGATTTTTTTGCTGCACGCCTAAAGGTTTACCCTCTAGCTCTGGGTGACGTAACATTTCCACTTGTGCATAGAAACAGTCCACATCCAAGTGTATTATGGATCTTGGATGTCGTGTAATTAAATCAAAATCGCTGGTATCCATTGATATCTTATAGAAGTACAAATATTATATATGTAATGTTATAGCCAAGCAATCTCTTAGGATTTTATAGTCTTATAGTAATGAACAGAATTACATTAATAATACAGCCACACATAAGAAGTTGTGACAATTATTTCAGTCTTCAATGTTCACAACTGTCTGTTCTGTTTCAGTTCGAAGACTATATTTTATTCCCATTTAGCAACTATAAACAATGATCATTAATGCGATATTGCAGTTCACTTATGAAGGAATAGTCCATTTGAACTTGCACTGGGATTGTTATAACAGCTGTACGGTTCACCAGATAAACTTATCGAACCAGTACAAAGGAGCGCTTCACATAAATAGTGGCAATTACATTTAATTTTGTATTCTTGCAGTTTTATTCAGTCAAGAAACTTAGGTTAATATTCACGTTTTCACTTTACTATTATCTTTCGCAATGTGCTCCAAAAATTCTTGGGGCAGTCTCTACAAATACCAATTCAACTGACACGACGAAGAGGATGTGGCTACGTAGGAGAGATGAATCAAGTGTCCGTAACCTGGCGATACGACGTACATTCGAAAGTTAGGTTAACGTTTCCGCGCCTCTTTTCTTGGCATCACATGTGTTCCCATCGTCCGCAAATTTTATTAACGCATCGCCATACACTCGAGAGTACAGTTAATCGGATGACAAGTTAATTGCTGTTAAAACGGCACTCCAGTAAAAATCGCAAGTTTGGTTAGCAACTGCTGGTCGTCGCTATTAGAAACCGTGTTTTTCATCAACCGCGCGCTTAATTCGGCCACGCACATTTACTGCACCGTAAATCGTAACGAACGCATCAATGGTAAACTACAGTAAAAACGATATTGAAGCTTGTTTACAAAGTGCATCACGGCTCGTCTATTTTCACATGGTAGCCATGTTTTCAAATGACTATCAAACCGCGACCTACTCCGAACAGTGGCTCGTATAACGTATGGTTGGCAGTCATGGAAACGGTCCATGGAAAAACAGGCAACAGATTTTTTAAAACTATTCGATTATATTTTCAAGCATTTTTTCATACTTCATCCACTAGTTATATAACATTTAAGATGATATCCTGGTACTTCAGATCGTACATTGATTCTTTAAAATAGCTAATAGTGTTTCTTTCGTTAATACTGTCTACGAAAATATTTGATCAATCTATGTAATTAAATAATTTTTATACTGAATGTACTTCTTGAGATTATGACGTATTTATAATTTTAAATTGCACGGTTGGCAATGATAGCTGTGCTGGACTTCAATCTGGAGATAGCCACGTAACAACTTACTTTACGCGGGAAACTGCATTATAATGTCAAACTCAAATGGGAACGTATTGTCTATGTGTAGAATGTCCGTGACAGTAGTAATAATGAAATGACAAGCTAAATCTGTCTTTTGTACCGAAGCTTTAAGATAGGGACTATTATACTTTGTAAAGCAATATTATCCCACACAATTTTTGCTTTCTAAATATATAACAAAACAGTGCGAGATAAAAAATGAACTATAGGTTGACAATTAAACAACCTCTTTCACTAATTTTTTTTCATGAAGAATTCGAAAATCATTATTATTTTCCAAATACACAATAGAAAACAGTATTTCATGGTTTTAATATATCTCTGAGAAAAATCCAAAAGATTAGACAAAAGTTCATCAATACACATTTCATCGTGTATTTCTAATGTCATCAATTACTGTTTGCACTGTAGTTATGTTGTAATCCTTATTTTCTAGACTAGGCGTCAAATCTTCCTAAAAGAGCAGACAAAAGAGTATCGACCTGTCTTAATGTTTCGAATTACTCAAGTAAATGATTTCCATAGCACTGAAAGTGAAATAACAAAAAAATAACCATCAACTCACCGTCATTATGTGCGTTGTTATCCAATATATTTTATGTATTACACGCGTTAAAATTGTTCTGTTGCACTCGAAGATTTTTGCTGATCTTTTATTTAATGATAAGAAAAACACTGTCTAACCATTCGTATAAAATTGTACTCATTTGAGGGCCTGTTAAATGTATAGACTGCCAAGACGTACCCTTACGTCCAGATGACTAAAGAAGACTGCGGAAAATATCTGACTAGCGGCAGTCATAACACTATCTTTCCCCCACCACACAATTCCTACCTAACATACACTCACGATTACCAATGGCACGTGGTGAGGATTGTTTGGTAGATGCAGATGGTAATGTACATATATTCCAGTCCTCCTGACAATTGAATAACAGTAAAGATTTAATGAATTGTAATTTCATTCATTAGGAGATAACGTAAAGTTGTTTTACGTTTTAGATTTTAATGAGTTATTACTGTATTTTTGTCATTTAACAATCATATTTAATGTGTGATATAACATTGCAGAAAATTGTAGACATAAGCATTAAGTTAAGATATAATAGAATTATAGTAAAAATTATATTTTAGGATACAAAGTATCATGATTTTTATACATTGACATACATATACTAAAATTCATGAGAAAAATATCATGAAGTGGTAATGTAGTATATTTAGTTAATCACTCTACGAACATACTGCAAATAAGATTCCTAACATTTCTCATCATATTCTGGTCAATCATAGTACATACTGGAATTATAAAACATGCTGACTCAATTGAACGATAATCAACTGCACCAGATATTGTCTAGAATAATTTATATTGAATAAGTATTGTTGAAAAATTGAATATTATAAATTTTGAAAAATATAAGTGGCATATGCAATAGTTACAGGATCTGTTGGATATGTTTCAACATATCATATTGCATTGTATGTATGTACATATCTGATCATAATTGTGCAATGTACAAAATTTTGATTTCGAGCTATATTATTCTATATGTACAGATAGAATGCAAATAAATGCAAAATATATTCTTTGAATAGCCTAGAGTTTTACATATAGTTTTATAAGAATACACTACTATATTACATGTTATCAATTACGACATTATTACGCTGTATGGACATACTCCATAACTATCCTCATAAATGGGATTAAAATTCACTGCAACCTCAAAAGCTTCTCAAAAAGTAGGTCACTGCTTTTAAAAGAAATTCTGTACATTCCTTATATTTGCAGATCAAAAGAAAAATGGCCACTGGTCAAAGTTATGATAACAGTAGTCGACAACTACAAGCTACCGATGTCGTTAAAACGCTTAAGCTTTTCTGGAAAAACGTCCTTAAATAGTACAGGGTCCGCACGAAATTCTACGGATCGTAAAGGCATCGATCCGTAAATATTGGAAAATCGATTAATACATTGTGTCCGTTCTACCATGTGCGTTAAATCGGCAGAAAGCATTTCCGTGTTGGTACACTCTGGACAGCGAAATTTCTTTTTTGGTGTCACCTGTGGATCGTTCCAACATATCGTTAATCGTTTCAAATAAATTGAATAATTTTATCAATCTCTGATTATATCAATTATGGTTACTTTTATAGGAGCTTTTCCTGTCCAGTTAGCGACAAGGAAATTCATGGCTATGTCTTCGCAATTCATATGCTCATCAACCCATTCTTTAATGTCACCTGGCATTGCAGTAGTATACATGTAACTCCAATACTGAAATATAACGTTAACATTCTATTTACAAAAATATCTTTAAGATTGATAAACTTATAAGGGAAATAACATATTTAGGCGTACATAATTACTTATGATGGATGTAGGAGTAGCGGTTAGAGGACTGTAAGGAAATTTTGAATGTTTCTAGGAATTCTGAAATTAGTAAGAAATAGTTCACAAAATTTTGACACACTTTCATTTGAATTTAGTAGGACTGTATACCTTGTGATAAAAAGCTGCCCCAGTTAATACCATAGAGATATGATTAGTCCATTCACTTTCATATTTCCAACAACTCGTTCGATTATCCCACATATGCGTACGTGATGGGAAACCAACTATTCGATCAGGAAATTCTCTCCATACCTAATAAAAAAATGTATAGAATTACTTGTACAATTTTTGTTTTATATTGTAAGTACACATATTTAATTATATACCTCGTAAGCAAATTCCACTTCGTCAGCAGTTAGCATTATGATGTCATCGTCAATTGATAAAATTGCTTCTGTTTCAATTTCATCGTATGGATAAAATCGATTGGATAATTTATTTTCCTTCGTTTGTATTACTTTCAGTGGTTTATTAATTTTTGGCCATCTTCCAGCTACAATTATTCATTTTCCAAACATTTCATAGAATCAAAATTTTGGGCAATATTTTGATTATACATACATTTTTTAAATGTATTGAAAAAAAATAATTTAGGCTTACGATGTGGTGGATCCTTGTGCTGGTTGTTCCAAACGACCAGAAGTTTTGAAAGACTTGGTACCTTAACGATCTTGTTTATCAGTAAAAATAAAAGCTCTACTCTGTCATATGTTAAGATAACTGCTGTAAATCCACGAGTTTTCGGAGCAGTTATTGGTAGGAAAAGAGGCGAAACGTTACCCTATAGAAAAAAGTACATCCAACGTTTTCATCTTAAGCATTCAAATTTAAAATACTTTATATAGTTTTCAAAGCCTTACCGAATGGGACGGTATATTCCAATAAGTACTATCTCTTGCTAGATGTGGAAAAACACGATCAGCAATAATTTCCAGTGTGGTTTCTGTTATTTTTTCTATTGACTTGAAATATCTGTCATACAACCAGGCACCATGTGCTCGTAATTCTATTACACGTTTCTCTGATACTTTCTTCAGAACTGGTACCACCATTAAAATATCCACTTCTCGTATGAAAATTACTGCCCTGATAAAATAATATACTTTAATATTTAAAAACGTAATTACTAAATTCAATAAGGTTTGATTTTATATATAAATTACCTAATCCAATCAATTGTTCCATGAAACGGCATTACCAGGGTATCTGCTATTATTACAGGAATGCAACCTGCTGCCATGGCTTCCAAGAGCACACTCTGACCGAGCCTTGCTCCACGAATTACCAAACAAAATGTGGCAGTCTGTAAGAGTACAAGACACCAGTAAAAACTAATAATAAAATGCTATAGTGTACAATTTGGTATAAATGATTTACTTGTAATACGTCAGGATATTTGTATACATCTTCTCCGACACAACGAATAGTATTATTCATTGGATTATGATGCAAACATGAGCCAAAAACCATTATATCATTTGGAAATGTTGTTTTTAGCTCCATCAAGTCTTGCTCAAATGCAGAATTAATATTGATTTGGGATGATAGAATAAGCCATTTTCTGTGGAAAGTAAATTTTATGTCATTATTATTGCAGATTATTTTGATTCGTGATACTTATATGGATGACTATTACCGGGTAGAAAATGAACCAGGATTGAGATTGGCAGTTAGTGGGCTGTAAACTGGTAAACTTATATCGAAGCCTGATCTGTATGTTAGCGAAGACATACCAGCTCCTGCAATCATAGCCTCTCCAATTGGAACATCCAACATAGGATTATAATCTGGCACACTTCCAGGAATCATGTTAAAAATTAAATGATTTTCTCCCTTGTCCCAACTGTAATTATAATATACACATATATTATGTATGAAGATTTTTTAGTGAGCTCAAAAAATTATATAAATATTAAATCTTACAATTCTAAAGTCCTTAAAGCTTGAGATACTTCTTGCACTCTTAGTCTGTTCTGATTCAATGTATCAATCGAAGGGATATAGATGCATGCCTCACGAGGATTTGGTGTATAAAATTTACTGGATATAATTGTATGTAAAATTTGATGAAATTCTCTAGTCATTTGGCTGGTTAGTGGCCTATTCAAAGAGTCTATATAATTTTTTGGTGGATAAACATATACAAGCAACTGGTTGCCACCGCTGCCACAACGATACACATTGAAGCAGTTAAAATGACTACATGAAGAATTTGTTGCTCCCGCAGTAGGTGTATCTCGATCCAACACTTGGATAGGTAACGTACTCACATCGTTTAAAACTAAAGCACGATAGGTGGAACCATGTTGGATATCACCAAACTTAAATACATGGTACGTAACAATGAGCACAATAAAAAGAGTTAACATTAACAAAATAGTAATAAAAAAGTTCCGATATTGGTACAAAATGCGATTTGGCTTTTGAGAAAGTCTCGTTGGGGCCGTCATTTTAAAATAATATAAATTCTTTATAAATAATTTATAATATAAAATGATATACGTATAACATGATTAGAGAAAAGTTTAATAGTTTAATTTCCACAGTCATTTAATAATGTATTAAAATTTAATTTATTTATTATATTAAACATTTAATAACTTGCTGGTATTACGTATTAACTTACGTATGAACGTATTAATTTTTTAATTTACTGTATATAATTTTGTAAATTGACAATGCTAATTGTAAGAAATATAACACTTGGCTGGTAATTCATTTCTATATTAGGACAATCTACATTGACATTGGACCTCTGAACAATTTATAATTATTGATTTTGATCTTTTCTATCACTTTTGGAATTTAGAAAAAAATAACATTTTATGTCGATAAATTGAATTCACATCACTTCCGACATACCGAAGGTTATGCTCAGTTATGTTGTCAGAAACAAGCTTTACATCAATAAATTTATCAGCTGTTTCATTATTTGTGCTGGTTACAACTCCCAGAACCAGAACCAGAACCACGTAAAGCAGTATTTTCACGAAGAGTAGCTTGTACTTGCGATTGTAAAAATCTTGCATGTTATTGGTTTTCAATAAAAATTAGTACTAATCTAAAGTTCAATTGCATATATTACCATTTACGTTTCTTGTGAAAAACTCCGTTTATTAAATCTCTTGACAGGCGGTCCACATTTGAAATTTTATAAAACTTCCAAAATATTGTAATAATTATAAGCGGTATTCATATCTTCGGAACAAAGTATAATGAATCCATTGACGTAAGTGAAAACTATTTAATATTTGTCGTTTATATGACATGGCGAATGTTAATTTCAACTTTATTTAGATATTAGGTTATAATTTTATAAGGGGTTAATTATGTGGTAATTGTTTTGAAAGTATATTTGTGTTAAAATTTATTGTTTTCTTGTATTTTTAGAAATGTAAAAAACATCACCAAACTTGGACAGCAGGACTTAGTTGGCAATAAGAAAACATCCTGGCATGATGAGTACAAAGACAGTGCTTGGATTTTTGTTGGTGGATTGCCATATGATTTAACCGAAGGAGACATCATTACAATTTTTTCACAGTAAGTTTAAGATAAATATAAGTTAATTAAAACATTGAATTCTACAAAAAAATGTGTGGTTTACAGGTATGGTGAAGTAGTTAACATCAATCTTGTTAGGGATAAAGATACAGGAAAGTCTAAAGGATATGGTTTCCTTTGTTACGAGGATCAAAGGAGCACAGTGTTAGCTGTTGATAATTTTAATGGGAGCAAGGTATATCATACTTTACAAACAATGCACATAGTTATTTAACGATATATTTAAATCATTTCACTTTCTAGGTTCTAGGGAGGATCTTGAGAGTAGACCATGTAGCAAATTATAAAGCTCCCAAAGATTCCAAGAAAGTTGATGAAGACACAAGAAAGTTAAGAAAGGAAGGATGTGCACCAAAGGCATCATAGGTTGATATATTTTATAAATATGAATATTAGTACTAATAAACTTTACGAATTTGTATCGTATAAACTACAAAGCTCTTAGACCACCAAATATACCACCATTTTCATAGACATTATAAGTCACTAGCATATTTCGACTTAGATTTATATTTTTGTAAAAAATAGTAGATAAGCTCCATTTTCTTGTATATCAGGTAAAACGGTAGATCGCCCAATTTATCGTTATTAATTTATATGTAACGAGTAAAAAAATTCATGTCAAATGTGCATTCTACGTCGGCATCTAAACTAATTTAATCTCACTATTCTGTACAAATGAAGTCTCTTGATTTGATCCCCCATTAAGACTATATCATAAATTATTATTATATAACAATTGCTTGGGCTCCGAACCCAAATATGAAGCAGTTTTATAAATTACTTTCTCTTTAATGATTTTTTGTAGAGAATTATAATTGCGACTATTTCTTGCGCTTTGTTATAAAAATGTAAATAAAATATTAGGATGTTAATATGTCTGTATATATATATATGTTTTATATTGATTTATGCATTTCGGAGATGGCTCTATCAGGATGAACCAAATTCACTCATCCATTTTTCATACTTCTCGAGATCCTCCTGGGATACACTTTTATTGCACCTTTCAACAGCTTCATCGAAGTCAGCAGCTGAAACTGGCAAGTCTAATTCCTCTTTTGGTAATTGTCTTATTTGATCCGGCTTCAAGCCAGCAATTTTTCTACGCATAGACATCATAGATGCATCTCTAAAGGACAAAAGAGGAAACTTTTAATATGCCTATAGTTATGTCACTTTAAAATATGAAATAAACGTTCATACCTGCAAACATTTGTTATATCAGCACCTGAATATCCTTCCAGTTTTTTTGCGATATCCGCCATATTTACAAACGGATCAACTTTGACTTCCCTCAGATTTATTTTTAATAGTGCCTCTCGTCCTTCATCTGTATGATTATTAAGCATATATTATAATCCACTGGATTTAGGTTATCTAAAACGATCTTGCGCTTTTAAACAATGAGAATAAATTGTAATAACTTACGATTTGGCAAGGGAATGTATATTCGTTTTTCTAATCGTCTTCGAAGAGCTTCATCTATATCCCATGGAAAATTTGTTGCTGCAAGGACCATTACCACCTTGCTGGGATCCTCACTACCAAAAGAACATTAATGTGTATCGCAATGAAAATATTGTGTTGTTCATTATCTCATACCTATTAGAACTTATGCCATCCATTTGTACAAGTAGCTCCGATTTTACGCGTCGCGATGCTTCGTGCTCCGTTTCGGATCCTCGTCTGGAGCACAGAGAATCAATTTCATCGATGAAAATTGTACTTGGCGCATAAAACCTTGCCTATTAAAAATATAATGTGTTAAAAAGAGTTGTCTATTAATGGTTAATATATAAAAAAATTTTATTAGCTTTACGTACCATTTCAAAAAGAAGTCGAACCAATTTTTCAGATTCGCCTCTGTATTTTGATGTAAGAGTTGATGACGACACATTGAAAAATGTTGTACCACATTCCGTAGCTACAGCTTTGGCAAGCATCGTCTTACCAGTACCTGGTGGGCCCACCATTAGCACACCTTTCCAAGGTCGTCGAATTCCCTATTACGAAACAAAACTTCCTTATAGAGTTGATTTTATTTCAGAAAAATTAATAGAATTAAAACCAAACTGTACTTTAAAGAAATCAGGCATCCACATCGGAAGGACTACAGCCTCTTCCAGTAATCTTTTTGCTTCGTGAAGATCTGCTATATCATCCCAATGAATATTAGGATTTTTCTGTACAATATCTCTCTCTGAAATATAGAAAGAATTTTAATTATTAGTGTTCACATAGGACTCTTTGTTATAATTAAATCAATGCGCCGCGCATAGTGAAATATCACGGATCGTCTGAAATCTAGAACACTTTGATTACCCAGCAAATCTACGAGATCCCTGTCATTTCCTGATGGTTCGAATTTCCGTTCTTCTACTTCTACATCGGCTTTCTCGGGCTCCTGTTTGTCCTGCACAATCATTAACATACTACTGGCAACGTGCACTTGTGAATTACATTAATGAAGGACGATTGCGGGATAATTAACGGCGCAAGCAGATCGGGTTAAGTCAATGAAATGACGAAGGCAAACCTTGTTAAAATCATCCTTTTTTGTTGATTTCTTATCATCTTTCTTAGTACTTGACTTTGCATCCTGTTTTTTTCCAGTACTTAAGGATGATTTGCGTATTCCTGTACGGGCTTGTTGTTTTTGTTGATTTTTTTGTGGTCTTGCATTTCTGAAAATATATTGACTGTGCATGTAATTCATTTTGCATTTGTGCTATCACTTTACAATGAAGGTTCAAGTACTATACTTTTGTTCTGCAGGAGTCAATGGCGGCCATACATCAGGATCTCGGGCTAGAGGCTGGTTCCAAGCAGCACCAGAATTTCCACAGGACCACAGTGCTGAATCACGTGTTGGTGCTTCAAATGGTAAACACGGTGAACCTGTAATATTAGAATAAAAAAATATGTAAATAAATAAACCCATAAATGTTTATACATACGAATTTTCATTGAATTATGCAACTAGTTTACCTATTGTTCTTTCTATATGCGTATCCACTTTAAACAGTTGTAGTGTATTTGAAGTGGCTTTAACTCTTTCAAACTCTTGTACAATCTGATGTTGCACGAGTTGCCATTTGGCTTTGCGTGTTGCATCTGCTATACTTGTGAGCAATCTGTGTATTTGTTGGACTACCCCTTGATAATAAACTCCAGATGTATCATAATTTCCAGTTAATGCCATTTCCCTTGCAAGTTTTGTATTTTCGCAAATTTCACTTATCGAAACAGCCATCATTCTATAAAAAATACATTGAACAGTTCAAGATATAAAGTATTTGCACCAAATTTATTTAAATAAAGTTTATTACAAATGGATGATAAAACAGACATATATGGAACTATAATATTCGATGTATCTTTAATACATTTAGAAAATACAGTTTTGACAGTGATATTTAATCAAGCGAAAGAATGCAAAATTTGTGCCGCATGACCATATACGAGTAAAAATGTGTCATGTAACCTATTACTCTTAAGAAAACGTTTTTTATGTAAGAAAATATATAAATTAATATGTTATGTTACAAGACCAATGTAAATATGCAACCCAAAAATAATATATAAATTAAATAAACATACTAGCAGTACAATTTCTTGTCAGACTTCAACACATTTATAACACAAATGTAACTCAAAGATACTTAAAGCACAGAAAGAACTTTCAGAAAAAACAGTGTTAAATTTAATTAATTCCAAAGTTTTGGTAATAAGTTAGAATTTGTATAGACAGATTTCAGTTTAGATTATAGATTGCCAAATAATAATAAACGCCTGACAATTTAATACACGATTGAATTCACTATTGCATTTCTTCCTATACAGGTAAAAGTGCTAAAATGAAATGCCAAAGAACTGTTGGTATAATGATGTGTCAACATTCGAAGGCTAAATTACGAATTGCTTTCGCCTTCGAATAAGGTTACTGTTCATTTATCATGAAACAGTAGATTTTTTTCAAAATGAAACTATAGGTGTAAGATAAATAAAAATCTCTTTTCGTCAATTTTGATGAAGTTTAATGCTAACAGGGCAGATATTAACTTTGACATTAAGATGACGAGGTGAGAAATGCCTATTGTATGCCTAAGCACCCAAGAATCATTAAAGGATTTCTGAAATTCTCGGGAATGGCGTAGGGGCTGAAACTTTTGAACGGATTAAATTATCCACTCAAAACTTTCACACTTCGCTTCCAATAGATACTTTGAGAAGGTTAACGTTGTTGCGAAGTGTCAATAAAACTAAAATCCTCTGCTTGGTTAAATAAAACTATATAATCTTTGAGATATTTGAGATATTAAAGGTAACTTCAATAAATATAAATCTCAATCTATTTTGTTTGAAAACGAAAGGAATTCAATTAATAATTATAAAATCAGTACTGAAGATAATGTATTTATTGAAGCGTGAACTTCCTACTTGAAATTATCGACGGATTAGTGGGTTTTTACTTTTTTATTCCATTTTAAATATGACTCGACACCGATACTAAATATTATATATATATATATATATATAATAGTGCTGCTTTATGCGGCAATAGTCGGAATCATAATCTAAATTACTGCACAGACGCCATTGCAATCCTTCGTCCTGTGAATATTGCAAACAAGAAGCTCCAGGATTCCAGGATTTCAGATCCCTTTTTTCCAGAATTTTCCATAGTCATGATAAATACCAAACCACTCCCATAACTTTCACCATTATCACTAGGTTCTCAATAGTACCTCCTAACTAATTATTACACAAAAATTATGTGTACACAATAATTTAAAAATATATAATTATAAATTTATGTAGAAATATGCATCCAAAACTTTCTCTTATCCATAGCGGTACTTATTTTTATAACAAAGAATCGATGTTGGACAAAATATAAAGTACAATAACCTCCATACAATCCTATATGCGGTCTTCAAAGAAACCATCAAGCCGTTATTGATAAGGATGCATAAAACTTTTTAATATCTATTAAATCAAATGATATAAACTATCAACGTTTATTATACACCCTTTGTCCAAATCGAACGCCTTTACCGACAGTTAGATATATATAATGTTCCAGTTTGGATGGATATCAAGGCCAGCTATGCAATTCGTGTTCTATGCCTGATAACCACTTACAGTGTATACGCTCAGTGCCACAGTCAGGGTGCACAGTAGAAGTATATGTCAGGCATTGGATTCGTAGCGTTACTAGTGCAGTAATTGTTACTAATCAAGCATATAAGGAAATATGTTCGGGCCTGGATTGCCGCATTTTGCCGTTGGGCAGATCGTCAAGGGATTCGGCAGAGGTTCGAAAGATCTGGGAATACCGACTGGTTGGTTTCTTTGTTCGCTCTTTTAAAAAAATTTTTTTTCTTTCTTTCTCGTCTTCTTCATTACCTGTCCTGTTCATATTCGCGCGACATGTTTTCTGATTAACACTCAACACTTCCGAAACTGTCACTGTACACAAGATCGTTTGGGTCAATTTCATCTGGTTATGTGGTGCCCTCTAGATAGTTATTAACGCCAGATTAGACTACGCGGTTCGTTTAAAGAGAATTTTTATTTCCTATTATTCCTTTAATATGATTTTATACGATATCTCATCTGTCTCAAATATTTTATCGTTATTATGAACAATAACGATGCTTTCTAGTAAGATTTATCATCATTGTATTTCAGCTAACTATCCTCTGGAAGTTGTCAAGTCGCTTCCAAATGAAATTGCTACTGGAATTTACTATGGCTGGGCTTCGGTTGACCGGGGCAACGTATACAAGATGGTGATGAGCATTGGCTGGAATCCATTTTACAAAAATGTCCATAAATCGATGGTACCTTAAAATTTACGTTTAACATTCGAACAATAACATTATTTATATCTAGTAATTATAGCATTTATAGATTATTATATGTAACATCACAGTTACATATTTATTTTTATCGTAATTTCAGGAAACTCACATAATGCACAAATACGACCGTGATTTGTACGGTTCTGAGTTGCGAGTTGCCGTCCTTGCATACTTACGTCCCGAAAAAGATTTTGCATCTTTAGGTAAAACATATATTCCTCTGATAAATCTTCCCTATAAGAAGAAAAGTCCTAAGCCAAAGAAATTGCGAAAATCTGAGATCCTTACATATACTCATAACGCCTTATCTATTACAGAGGATATGATAAAGGAAATCAAGAACGACATAGAAATCGCCGAGGAGTCCCTAGATCGTCCGGAATACGCAGCCTATCGAACGCATTACTTTTTCTGTCAGGAAAACTCCTCGGATTGAGACACTCGATGTAAAAGAGGAGAAGACGAAGAAAAAGAAAGTGGAAAAAAGTAGCACGTCTATAACGTGCAATTTTTTTATAAACATACGTCTCTCCATTAAAAGTAAGAAAAAGAAACGGAAACAAAATTAATCTGATCGTCACATCGAGAATAAATATCTGAACCAGTGTGAAAAATACGATGTCGTTTGACGATCATCCCCATGACTACGTTGGCACGGCGTGCTTCATCCGTATTGGTCACTGCCGATATTTTTTAAGATTCAAACTAATCGATAACATTCCGTTAGTAGTTTATTACCAGTACCACTGGTGCAATGCATGAATAATCAGTTTAGTTACTGAAGCCGGTTGAAGATGGCCGTGCTAACGGGTAGCCAATGTCGTGACATCCTTGATATTGTGACGAAATAAATTGCTACATTAACGATAATAATGACAAAAATAACAACAACAACACCTCGTTTTTATTATCATATCACACTCGGGTTACGGGTAAAGTAATTATCAAAGAGCCAGTTCTGTCTGACGTTTAATGTTCCGTATTAATTACATTGGTAGTAGTTAAAATTCTTATATTAATTTTAGAATACTGTTACAGGGATTTCTTTTTCCTTTCTTCTTTTTCTCTTGAGGGATGTCTCGTTCACGCATTTTCATTTTGACGTTGCACACTGCCGGATTGAGCCTCGTCGAACGTTTCTGAGCTTAACTAATCTCGTCGACGTCATCGACGTTCAATGATAATTGTCTGCGACGATGGTTACCATTTTCTTTCTCCCACTCTCTATCTCTCTCCTTATTTTCCTTCCATCGTATCCATTGATTGACATATATTTAATTGGCGATCGGACTTAAAAACGATGAAGCGTTCAATTCGTTCGACGAGGCGATACCAATATGTGGCGTGAATCAAAATGCCGGTTTGAAGTAATTATAACTTCAGAGCTGAGTGACTAGACAATGATTTAGATTTAAGAATAATAGTAATTCGTTATCCGTAACGATGAGAGATGTGATTGGGAAGGAAGTGGGTTCGGGTGAGGAGAGGTTGGCGATAATTTTTTTCCTAATGATAAACATGAAACGTCATGAGATCAGTTATCAACAACGACAGGATAATCGACAAATTGCAGATAGATTATTATGAATCTTGTACTTACTTGGAAAAGCTTAATAATCGTTGCATTTAATAATTCTTCATCGATTTTTATCTCATCGTCATTTATAACTTTTCTAATGGTCGTTCCGTTGTTTTCATCATTCGTAACGAGAGATCTTATACTTCTCTCGTTCATGACTTTTCCAACCTCCATTTATAAACCTTTACACTTCTTTGTGTTTTGCAACTTTATTTTTCTTTCTCAACCATTTATTTTTGTCTTTTAACGTGCGTATACGCGAATAGTTTTCGCGGTATTTCGATTTTCGAGCGGCGCAATAATTATATACCTATTGTAAATATATCCAACATTCAATATTCATACATGATTACGATCTAATATTCCATGTGTATGTATACATTCATTCCAGTGGATGGGGATAGGGGAAAAAAGGAGTTTGATGATAAAAGTTGGTACGGTGTTGAGATAGTGACAAGGGTTAGAGGAAGGGGGGGGGGTATTTGTTATATCGATACTAAATGTCATGAAATACTTATAAAACTCGTTTTGTCGTCAAATCCTTTACTCGTAATCTTCATTAGCCTGGTTATCTTCATTTCCATTGTTTTACTCTCGCGTTTAATATTTTTATTTTCTCTCTTTAAACTCGAAAGGTGATACACAAGGTGCACTTATAATTGTTAATTTTTTTCTTTATCTTCCTTTCACACCACTTTTTTCCCTTACACACACATTTTTTGCATTCTCTCTCTTTCTCTTTCTCATATCCTTTCACTCATTTTTTTATTTTCCACTTTCTCACCTTTCAGTCGTTTACACTTGAACGGTAAACCAAAGTACTTAGTTCCTTTCGCGTTCGTTGTGGTTATTTTTTTTTTGAAATTCCGCGCTTCACGTCCCACTCTTCCAACTCATCCTCCGATATCGGATGACGCGTTCTGGAAGACGCGTCAGCGTCGGATCTACCGCATGAAAATCAGCCCCAGGCATCCCGCATAGGTTAGCCCGCGATGATTGAGCATACCTGATAGATCAGCTGGAGAAACAGGGAACAGCGAAAATTCATGATCACGAAGGAACGTCGAAATACGACAGCTGACTCAAGGTAACAAAATTAAGGATAAGACATCTCACGCAAAACTGATACCTTTTCATAATGATTTCGTTCTCTGCGACCAAGATTCGATAATATTCCTTCTTTCTTTATTTCTTTCGTTATCGTGTGATCTGTGCGTGTACACGTTTACCTGTAGCGTGCGTTGCAAGTTTTGCATACGTGTACGAAATAGAGAAACGATCTACAATACCTAAAACCTTGTGAGAGAGTCCTTTTTAAAAATCCTTTAATTTTTTTCGATCACCTTAAGATACTTTTCACCGGTGTGCACTTTTATGTATCTGGTATATATATATGCGCGTGTTTTGTGATTATGTGCGTGTGTGACTGTCAGTATGCGGTATGGCTCTTGGTTAGTATTTTGCGTATGAGTCAATTAGTATCCACACTTTGTACCCTGCATGACATGTATTCTCGTGTTATTACGTATATATATGTGTATATCAAGAGGCTCGACCGAGTTTCGCGCCAAGTACAGGCAACCGGCTGTACAGGGCACGGTCCGCCGAGACACTTTACCCGAGTCAACTCTTATATATACCTGTGTTTGAAATCGAATATCTTATGAACCGCTATATTGCTATACCGGTACCGATACATTCACTATAGGAATTGAGGGTTTTGAATCGATTGCCATCAAGATCAATATGACTAGTGTAAGAGATCAGAGCGTATTGAGACGGCGAGCGAGATGACTTTATTTCAGTTCCGTCGTCGTCGTCGTCATCGTCCTCGCACGTGCATCTATTTTTTTTACATAACAGATGGCGTTGGTTGTGAGACAAGGTTGAGTCTTGCGCCAAGTACAGGCAAGGCGTCGAAGCAAGTCATGTAACTGAACGTCTTGTGTTTCGAATCAAAAAATTGAAAATATATTTATGGTGTCTTTCAATAAAACAGTAACATCGATACGCATTGAAAATTATGCGAACTGTTGAAACTTGAAATCTAAGCTCAATTTGGCCTGAAATGAAGTATGTAAACGAACTACGTTCAACTCGATGGAGATAATCAGAAAGTGTATTCATTTGTATTGAAATAATTGATTACGCGTTAAAAAATCTCTTTTGCTCTATCTCAAAGTGTGAGGCGATCTTACTTGATCTATTTCATTCTCACCTTCTACAGTAGAATTTTTTCCGAATAAAAAAATTATCTATAATATCATTTGACTTAACATTTCTCAAAGACGATGAACGAATATGGCAAGCTGCGGACTAAAGCTAATGAAACTGGATATGTGATTATTAAAAATTGTATACGACAATTTGCAAAAATTAGTGAAATGCCGGGCAAAAAGAGTGCGCGAACTGCATATCCGCTGTAACGTATAGTTTGATGATGTTTATTTTATCTTTATCTTATTTTATTTAGCCATGTTCACTATTTGAAATAACATAGCTGGATGGCATTTTGACATGCAATATTAGATCAAATTATTAGTACATTTTGCAAGTAAATTTCTTTATATTTCCTAATTGTTTCTTCGCTCTATATAATTATGGATCGATTATATAGTCCTTTCAGCTGAATTGCACTTTCCATTGAATACTACATTTTCGTTACAAATTCAGATATATCTTTATGCACTTCTAAAAAAAAATGAGATTATATATTAAATTTAAATGCCTTTCAACACTTCCGGCAACGCAATATATTTTTCTGATGACCGACGCCATAATGAATACACATCTCAAATCTGTAAGGATGTATAACTGCAACGAATTCACGTTCATTTCACATCAATACATATTTCGTGTACTTAGAATTTCTCGAATATAAAATAACGAACAAAAACTTCTGATATCCCCCACAAAAACACTTTCGGGTAAAAAAACTCGCCAAGTACAGGATTACTTGTACAGGATTCTGAATTTCCCTAACAATAAATACTGAAATCACATTATAATGTTAAATACATAAGTCACTACAAATCTATTTATTACACAATCTAGTAATGGTTCATCACATTAATTGTATTTTCAAAATTTTCTATATTGTCTTCACTAATCTTTTGTCTTATCATTGCTGCTTATATCTATTTATGATTTAATAGTCAATTAGTATTTAAGATATTTAATAACGCGTTAGGTGATTCTATATCGAGTACTTCATGGTAGGTCCGTGCCTTACTTAAAATAAATTAGATTTTAATATGCTTTCTGAAATTCACTGTCAGACGGTAAGAATGCTCGCAAGTCTCTCATACGTACACAGATGAAACGCGACATAATAACGTTTGCAATATTAGCAATGAATATGTTAGTTTGCTACAATTAATATGATGAACCATTGCTAAATCATATAATAAGTAGATTTGTAGTGACTTATGTACTAAGCATTATAATGAGATTTCAATGTTTGTTATCAGACGAATTCACAGTAATCCTGCACTTGGCGAGGTTTTTTTTAACACGAAAGTGTTTTTGTGCGGTATATATATATATATGTATATATATATATGTATATCTCAATGTGTTCATACATACATATAATACTTAACTGTCGCAATCATACAATTGTAAGGACTTGTGTCTCGTTTATATACATTGTCGTGTTTTTCGTTAAATTTTTAATAATTAGTCACTATAACGTAGGTTACGGTATCTTTAATGAATTGTAACTCTCGTGTTGGAAAAAAAAGAAATTTTCCATTATAAAATATTAAAGAAACGATATTCAATGATTCGATTACGTGAATACGTGTCGCCGATGCTTTTGCGATGTCTGTCGACGTTACGATGAAGTGTCGCGATTACATATGGTGTTTCTTTTGAGCTTAAGTTTTTAAAAGTAAAAAGTCGTTACGACAGCAACGCTACGCGGACGGTGCACGATGCACGTTTAATGAATTGTCTTCAGTGTTTGATTGCGCGTTACTTTGGAAGACCCTGGCGACGATGTGACGGATCTTTACTGCATTTGCTTTGACGATAGTTTTCTTTTGGATCTTTATTGTTTTTGTGAATTATTCTTTTTTTGGGGATTTTTCGTAAATACTCGCATTCGTACGATCGATTACGCGTCGATGACGGAGCTTAGATATTTTCTTGAATTACTACGATACAGGCTTTGCTTTTCCTTGATTTGACGTATTTTGTCTTTCTTGAGCTCTTTTCAATGCATGAGTATGTTTTCCAGTGTGCGTGTAAGTGTTGGATTGGATTGTTTGTTTCTCATTTCTCTAGTGATTTTTTACATCGCCAGGTGGCAGGAGCGGCGATATGTTTCTCGTAAGAGAAACTGAGTCTGACGAACTACGCTGGTCTCTGTGTTTCTCGTAGCTTCTGCCTACCATTTATACATAAATGTGTGATACAATTTTTGAAAAATACCGTAAGAGTGACGTAACGGCGCTTTTTTTGATTTTTGTGTATGGCATTTATGTTAATTGTTATAGGGATGTACCGGTGGCAGGGTGATCTCGAAGGAAATTCGATAGGAGAAAGGATCGGAGATGGTTTTTGTTTTTTCTTTTAAATGGAGGAGGCTTAGGCGGATGTGAAACCTCCTCTCTTCGTACTAGAATCGTGCGCAATTTGTTCTCGTAATAAATTTCGCGGATCGACCTTAATTAATTAATGTCTACGCGTACCACGGAACGTTCATTACGTATCACGAAGAAACATTTCCTATGGAAGTACGTTCTAGGCATATTTCAAAATTTATCCACATCCCATTTTTCGTTCCTTTGCCTTTCAAACATTTTGTCTTATTAACAATCTTGAAACTGACGGCTATGTACTTCGCGTTGAGTAGAACTGCGTGCAGGCGAGTTACTCTTGACACTCAATATTTCCTCTAAATGCTTTCCTTACTTTCTCTCATTTTCTCTGTCTGTCGCTCAAACGTACACACACTTTTTCGTACTTTTATATTTTTTTTTTAGTGGGAAATATTCTTTCAATTGTAATTATTTTCGTTTTTTTTTCCTTCCGTTCCTTAATGGCTCTGCTATCTCATAATTTTTTCGTTTTTTTTTTTCTTAATTTTTTACTCATCTTTTTTTTCGTACTTCGCGCGCATTTCGCAACGTCTTCCGCGCACCGAGAACAATCGTGTGCGAGAACGACGCGGCGATACGTCATTATCGCCGGACGAATTACTAACTCTCGAGATCTCTAGCCTCGGTATATAACTTTTCTCTTTTTTTTCTCATTTATTTTTCTTCCTCCCAATGTATTTCTCTATGGAAGAACGAATACATAACGATTTCCCTAAGATTTAAGCAGACAAGGAAGCATATTCTAAAGGACGAGGCGCTCGTCTGCACGGTTCAGAAAAGTCACCGATCGTGAATCCAGAGAAAGATGCGCGCGCATTCACGATTTCGCAAAAATGTTTTGCTCGTCGATCTTCCTTATCCTCGCATTGCCATCTTAGCTTCGCATTTTGTAGTCTCGTTTTTCTTCGTAATCGATTATTGTTCACCTTCCTACGCATGACGGACGAAATATCTACAACATTGAACTCGATAGCAAGGCAATTTCGCTCTTGATCTCGTTCTGTGGTGACAGTCCGTCCAAGTACAGCAAAATATACTTCCTGTGGATTGACGTTGCGCCTAGAAACGTATTGGAGGGCAACACGATTGATTGACATTAAAAAAAAACCACACGTGCCTTCCCTGTCTGTCTCTTTATTCGCGATATGCGAAATTATGAGTTCCCACATGAATTTTCCAAGAACGTACTTCCCTCCGCGCAAACACGCTTACTTATTAATAATACGTTCATTAATTCGAAAGTTCATATCGTCGTTCCTCGTTTCTCTGTTTCTTGTTATATCTTCTTTCTCCCTTACTCTCGTAACTTTCGTTAACATTATATTTTCTTCGTATCTTTTTCTTGTTTACCTCAATTAGAAGAATTTCTTCCCGCGAGGCTAGAGATCTCTCCGATTATATCAAGGAGTCACTGACTGCTATAACGCGTTACTCGTTCAAATATGTATAGTATTTATAAATTTATTATGCATATAGTCGTTAACAGGCCGTGGCTATACAGGGCCCACTACGTTAACGTCATTTTGTGGCACGCGGTCTCCCAGTTTCTCGAATGCGTTCACACAGTGATTCATTCTCTCCCATTGGCTCGTGCTTTTGTATAAGTCATCGATATCCTTGCGGCGCGTGGTTCCTCGTTCACCCACCTACCGATCTTCCTCGTACTCTTCCTCGTAATTATTCACAGTCACATTCACGTATCCCTCTCGTCGTTCGGGGGTTGGGCAAGGGTAGCTAAGGTCGAGTCAAACGGGGAGGGGAAGGGCTTGTTATACCATTCTCATGTATCTCTATCAGAGAATGCTTGTGTTCCTTTTGTGGATGTAAATATCGACGTGTAGTTTCTGCGAAGAAATCATCAAGAAATAGCCGAAGAATCGTCGTGTCACCAAGTGACACGTGAACACCAATTCGACGGGAACATTATCTCTTTCTTGTTCTCTCATTGGTGATCTCTTATGTTGTCATTTCAGTTTCTCTCTCTCTTGCACTCCATCGTTCTCTCCCCCCCCCCCTCTCACGCTTTCGCTGTCCCTTATCCGCTCATGCGCTTGGGATCCTCTTCTTGGAAGAGGTAGGTAGACCAGTAGATGATATTGAAGAGGATGAACATTAGGGGAAAGGCGATACGTGCGACGACGTCGATCCTTGCGCTACCCTTAGCCCGACAGGTGAACCATCTACGCGGTAAAAGGCCCCAGCAGCATCTCTCGGTCCGGCCGAGTGGTAGCCGGGGGAAGCGACGGAAGTCTTGCGTCCTGTGTAGGGTCGGCGGTGACGGCGTGTGCATCGGCGATGGCGACGGCGAGGACGAGGTCCTCGAGGTCCTCGATGAACGCGAGGCTCTCGAGGAGCATTGAGCTGTGTGCCCGAGGTGTGTCTGGGAAGAGGACGACGAGGGTGATCGAGGCTGATGCCGATGACGATGGTGGTGATGATGTCGATTGTGAGGCCGCGAGCGATGACGAGTGTGGGAGTAATGGGGATGGCCGCGAGCCACGTCCCTTGGTCCGAGCGCTTCCTCATCGAGATTCACTCGTCCTCCCCTTCCTTTCGGCACAGGTACGTGGACCAGTACGCGAGGTTGAACAGAGCGAATACTAGGGGGAAGGTGATCCGAGAGATGACGTCGATGCGCTTGGACCTCGTCGGGAACTTGGACAGCCACGACCTGCAGCAGTTTTTTGGCGGCGACTGCATGTGTATCTCGCACTGCCGCATCTTATCCAACGACATCGCATCCTCCTGGTGTCTTACCAGAGGCTTCTGAAAAAAATGACAAAGGTTTTGCTCCGCTCCTCGTTTCACGCTAAACGCAAAATCCAGAGATTCGCTTTACTGTTTATTCCCTTGGAGATTGTCCAACTTCCTTTACATATTTTCCCAATTTTTGATCTTTTTACCCATTTCACTGTTTCTTTCTATTTGTCTCTTCCTTCCTTACTCTTCCTGTCTCTCTACCTCTCTTACTGCATCACTTTCTAACCGGGATGTTTTTTTTTTTTTTTCGTTTTTCTTTATACGCTTTCATACTTAGCTCCCTTTGTACTGCTCATTCCATTCTATAGAAGCTTTACTTGGATCTTTCTTTGACTAGACCGCGACTGTCCTCGTGTCACTGGGCTCGCGAATATTTCCAATTCTCTTTTTGCACCCATCTCACTGTACTCTGAGAAATTTCAAAGCCAGGACACCGACAGACGAAATGAACAGTCAAAGCGAATCTCCAGTCCGACCAGGACGGTTTATTTATATACTAGGCGAATTGATCTCTCTTCTTATATAGAAGTACTAGGAACTTCTTGAAAATTATTTTCAAAAAATAATACCAAGACACAGATTTCATACAGAAAGGACACTGACCATAGCGAAATTCGTCGTTCCATCCGGCTCGATCAGCTCAGCAGCTGGCTCGACAGATGCCGAGGGCTCTATTTCACGATATTTCTTCTTCATATTCTCACGATGCATGTCGCTACGCGATGCGTAGTTGACCAATGCAAACTCCAGAAGTGCGCCAAAGACGAACGTCAAACACACCCCCGTCCATACGTCAATGGCCTTTGTGTAGGAGACTGGTGGCAGTGAAGCGTTTATTCCAGAAGTCTGTGTGGCCATTGTCAATAGCGTAGTCACTCCTATAAAAGAAAAAACACATATAGGTAAAGTAATTACACATCATGTTAATAAAAAAGAAATATTAATTAACTAATTTAAAAAATTGTGTACCTAGAGAAACTCGAGCTGGTACTGCACTCTGATCTAGCCAGAAGGACACCCAGGATACGATGACCAGCATGCAGCAGGGGATGTAGATCTGAATGAGATAATAACTGAACTCTCTTTTGAAGAGTAGATCTACCTTGAGACAACTGTACTCGCCTGAGAAGTAATATATATATTTTAATTAGTCAATTTCTTCATTGAATTACTTATATTGTTATTATTGACGAAGAGCACTCACCGGTATTTGTCTTACTGTTGCAGTAATCTGTTAGAAATCTCTCGAGCGTAAATCTGGGTAGGTGTAAGTTCTTGACAACCTGGACGGGGTCACCCTCTTTCCAGAGGAAAACCAGGTCGTCGGTCGTCCATCCGTCTGAAAAGTTCAGAGGTCACGTTACTCGTGAGATAATTGAGTTCAGTTGATCCGATATCATTTCAACATGAGAAAATATTAATCCACTTACAGCTGGCCATTCGCAGTGAACAAGTTTGTCGATCCAGGGGATAAAGTTTCAGATCCATCGGACACGAGAGAGTGAGTGATATCCTGTTGATGCGGTGTAATTATATTAATTAAAATCAATAATAATAAGAATATCGATTAATATATATATTTTGTTTTTCAGTAAACCATACCGTATGCTGTAGAGAACAGAACCGTGAGGGAAGATACGTATGTATACGTTTGGCATAATGATTTCGTGAAAATGACCTTCCTTCTCATTGGCAAAGAAAAGATCAGGCATCCATACTCGACTTGCTTCTGTTAACGTAAGATATTTTAACCGTCCTGGAATAGAGAAAGATTTGTGATTATTAATATCATTATATTTTTAAGTGTTTCAGAGAGATCTGTATTTATGCTTTGAATGACAGTGACGTATACCAACCTCCGAAGTCATTGAACCGTAATCTCTCGTCCACCCATTGTTCCCGGAATGTCAATTGCACGGAATATTCCTGCGGGTAAAAAAAATCCGGTTAAGCGGACAAAGGATGATATTTAATTTTTCAAAATTGCAGGCACTGCTTGAAAATTGTTTTATTTCAACAAAAAACAAGGGAGGGATTTTATGCGCTTAAAGATGCGCCTTTTATGTATATTTACATATGCCGACGGATTTTTCGAGTCTTTCTCAATAATTATGTGCGAACGCCGAAATTTTATAAAATATGAATATTTATTTTTTTTCAAATTCAAACTTGGATTATCTATATACGAGAAATTCGGATTAAACGATGGAAACATATTTATAGACAGATTTCGTTAAATCTCATGTAGCAAACAGAGAGCCGTACAAGCTTATCAGAATGTACACTTGCGTAATTTGTTTATATACGAATTTTCCAATTTGTACAGATATGCGATTTTTATATTATTTTATATCGAAGCTACAGTAATGGAAGCATAAAATCATTACGATTGTACAATTGTATATACAATGTCTTACAGCAAAATTAGATCTCTGCAATGTATATACATTGCTAAGCAACAACGTCATTATCTTCTAAAGCCTATTAAACGTACATTAATTAAGCATTTAAGTAATTTTTCATTGAACTGTTATACGTTTACCCGAAAATCAATTTTTCAAATTTATACAGCTATTACTCAAGATAGAAAAACCTTCCGTGTACAATATCGGCCCGAAAATTCCTCAAGAACAATATACTTATAGAACGGGGAGTGAGAAAATGCAAACCAAAAATAGTAATATCTCTCACATTCGGCAATAATAAAATACACAGGGGACGAGTACAGTCAAAAAAAAAATAGAAAATCTTGATAAAGATAAGATTTAAAATAGTATAAATAAAATTATCGAATTGACAATCAATATAATGACTCAAAAGAAATTACGAGTTCTTGATTAATAGAGGATTTCAAACACGATCGTTAATCGTGTTATACGTTAATTTCACGGTCCGTTCAACCAAACGGCTAAGTGTGACTAGCCGTTAAATTAACGTTTCCGAAGGATCGATCCTTTTTTAGAGGGGAGAAGGGGATCACCATTGACTTTAACACGACCAATCGTCACAGACGTAATTCCAATAGCATCTTGTCTTAATGACAGTTACTGACAATTAAAACAAGTCAATGGTTATCCCCATAGTGTAAATACACGTGATACCTGATAATCGATCATTTCTGTCCGACCCACTACAGGTATCACGTTACGAATGTTTGTATATGATGATACAGGAAAAAAAAGTATCATGCAAAAGCGACATTGACTGAACTACTTTGAAGCGACTATAGCGATTTATATATGTATGTATATAGCTGCCAAAATAAATACATATATATATATATATATTGTACTGTTAAGAAAAATGGGTGGGCATGCATTTTGGCTCACGGTTTCGTTTGCAGCTCGTCGCCTTGTGGTTACTGGTTAGTCCCACGTTCTTCCTTCCTATTTTAGCTTGCTACTTGAGAATTCCTTTCGTATTGTTTTTTTATTTGTCCCCCGTTAAATGTCACTCTCTTTCGATTTTGAGGAGTTTCACAAAATATACGAAAGTCACAGTTATCGAGTAGAATGCCTCGAAAATTAATGGTGCGATGCTTGTTGATTTTATTGAATTTTTTTTCTCTTTGGATCATCTCAATATTTGTCAATTTTTTTTAAAATTCTTTTTCAACAATTTCATCCACCAATTTCATCTGGTGACGCGATCAGATCGAAGAAACGTTTTTAAAGTTTATCTCGAAATAAATAATTCGATGATAATCGGATATCGATAATTGAATGCGGCTCATCCTGTATCGTAACCATTAAATAACTTTCGTCAATTTTATGTTCTCCGTCAATCAGCACGAGTGCACAGTATCGTAGAAGTAATGACTTTCAAGACATATCACTGGAAGAGCAATGGTAATATAAAACTTTTGCGTAGACGTGTACCTCGCTCCATGTGACCACGTGTTTATAGAGGTGTAAAGTTTGGAAAAAAAAAATTAAAAAAAAATTATGCCAGATTACAGTAAATCACAGGTGCGCACGAATGACGTCTTAAAAAAAAAAAGAGTGAATTCGGCCATTTTTACAATCGGTTGAAAAAAAAATCGTTGATAAATCCACTGAAAGACAGGTATGCAGGATTCGTAATACATTCCAAAGTGAACGACGGCACATGTATATTTCAAACCTTCACAATATAATGTGAACAATATAAATGATAATGATAATAACAATAATAATAAGTCTCTTAATAACATTACAAAAACATTTCATCACATTTAACCAAAGTCCCAATAAAGATCCTCGCTCTCTAATCTCTTACGATTTCATAAGATAAAATTTGAATTTTCTCATCTCGGTGACAGTGCAATTAAACAAACCCCTTTAACATTCATCACCCAGTATATATACATATAAGCATATAACAAATTACCCATAGGCCCTCAATACTCGACGTTATCACTCATCGAACTTTTTTTTTCGCGTTTCGAATTTTCCATTCGCTTGCGCACACATACCACATCCGGAGATACAATTACCCAACAGGATAATTTCCCGGGGGAGTAACAAAAGAAAAAAAATCATCAAAATCGATCACGGTCACGCGCAGGACAGTCCTTATCGTCCCTATCGCAAAGTCCCGCCAATAAAGGGTGACCCTAACGAGTAAATCGGGACAACCGGAAGTTCATTATCTCTAAGTATTAAGGTAGTTCACAACTCTTTTAGCGTGCAATCATAATTTTAAGACACGAGAAGACTGCACAGACTCGAAGACCGTCCCCTAACGAGGTTGGACCGTATATATGAATACACAAGTTGCCTAACCAAGCAGATAAGACACAAGTATACTAAAAACGTGTACATAAGCAAAGTTGTGTAAGACGTTTCTTTCGTTGACAATGTAAATTATTCAATTCGACGGCTGCATTATATTTTATGATCTCCTTTCAGAATTCTTATCGTCGACCCGATGACGTCACTGACTACGATGGCACAAGTATTATTGGATAGATATTGGCAAACCAGCGACGAATCTTTTCCTTCCTTCTTTCCGCCCCCCCCCGCTCCCCCCTCTTTCCCCGACCTTAATCAAACGATACGAAATTCAAATTCCAAATTCTTCCGCCTTTCTGAATTTTTTAGCAATTTTACGAATTTCACGGAAGACCGAATACTACCACTAATGACTGGGTCGAATGGAAGATTT